TTTAATCAACCTGCAACAGTTCAACAGACTGAGCGCCGCCTGAGATAACCACTGACTTGACTTAAATGTACACATAACTGTCATGATTTTATATAACTGTCATATGTAACTTGTACAAGACAATGTTTGTAATTAACATATCTATGCTTATACACAGGTCTTGTATGCCCATGTAACACTGTAAGACTTTGTTGTTAAAGTCTTACAGTGTTAATAGTCATCCTGGCAGAAGGGAACATTTCTTCTGTGTAAAAATATAAATATAAATATTACATGGGCATACAAGACCTGTGTATAAGCATAGATATGTTAATTACAAACATTGTCTTGTACAAGTTACAATATGACAGTTATATAAAATCATGACAGTTATGTGTACATTTAAACATTATCTTAATTCAGATTTACAATACTTTTACTGAGATAATCAAAGTAAACTTAAACTTGTAATTCATTTACACATTGACTGGATTTTCAATGTCATTTTAAACTGCTTTACAATATTATTTTTATCAAGTACATACAAATTGGATATGCTGAGATTACAATAGTTTTGCTCTTACAGTCCTGTTACTATTCTACGGGGTGCGGTTAGGTTAGGTTAGGTTATTTAATTACGGCAAAGCGTCAAGGCCTATCTGCCTAAGGGAAGCGATGCCTTCGTGGAGGACCTTCTAAGGGAAACTGACTCGTATACACGTTACACATGGGAAAAACCACGAAAACACAAATGTAGCCAGCCCGTTCGCGGGATTCGAACCTCAGACCGAACTACCAGTGTTGAGCGAATTTATCGCTCGGCCGCTGGTGGGCTATTCAACGGTGTGAGTTATTTTTCTAGCGTTGATTTTCAGTTGTTGTAGTATTTTGAATTGCTATTAAAATTATGCTGCGAAGGTACAATTCTCAAGAGACGGGCAGAATTTCTTAGTAACTTGCTGAGCATAGCCTGATCACCTCCTCTATTTCAGTTTTCGTAGATGTATAAAAGAATTTAAGCAAACAAAACAAAAAAGAAACAGTTTTCACAGACGATTCAATATTTCTCATTCAATTAATTCAGTTCTCACTTCGCGAGAAGGCAAAAATACATAAAATCTCAAAATATCTGTATTAAAATTTACGAAGTAAATCTTACACACTTATTTCCTCGAAAAAATTCCAGAAAGGATTAAGCATGATTTAATTCGCAATAATAAATGAAGGCGTTATCTTTGTTGTTGCGAAGCTTAGTCTCTCTAGATTTCCAACAAATCTACTATTCTGCTGTTTCAAATGTAAACAAATATGTCCGCCATGTTATTTAAAAATTAGGCTTAACTGCACTTAAACAGCTTTTAAATTGTTGATAATTCTAAAAATATTGCATACAGATTTACTAAAAGCATAAAATCTGTAACCAGAAGATAAGAACAACATAATTCAATCATTTTTAAAACAAAAAATGTACAATTTACAAACATATAAGAGTAAAGAAACTGAGATCACTGAGACGAGTAACAGAGTGGATATATATATAAATATATTTATATACGTTTGTGCTTTCGATTGTAACCAAAATACGAGGTGCAGATCTACATGTTATAGCAGTCCTATATACAAAATTTCAACATTCTGAGAATACTCGTTTTTGAGTTATGCGAGATACGTACGTACGTTCATACAGACGCCACGAAAAATTATCTTCAGAATTCATTTTAAAGCAGTTTTATAATATTTTATTCTGTCCTTACGTACAGATATCCCGCAAAAACTTAGTTAAATTGCAATCGATAGCGATCAAAATGGATATATTCGTTGAAATATGCTGCCTGAAACTTTTCGCGATTATAATACGTCCTTTCTACTTCGTGCAAGGAAGTAAAAAACGGAAATATTTACTTTTAAAATTTGAGGCATATGTTGAAACTTCAAGGGTCATACACTAATTGAGGAGAAAAATATTTAAATTGCTACGTAAAGTAAAGAGGAAATATCAGTTTAGAAAAAGATTTCTGATGTTGATAGATTAAACAACCAGCATTTGTACTTAGAGTGTAGTGAAAGGTTTTGATCAATACAATTTTTTTTACTTCCTTGTACGAAGTAAAGGAAATACTGTAATCACAAACAATTTCGGGTATCAAAGTTCAACGAAAATATCCATTTTAAATGTTTTCGAAATAATTTGAACGATGTTTATGTGTGACATCTGTACGTACGAACAGAATAAAGGACTGTTTTTACTTCCTTGTACGAAGTAAAAAGGAAGTATTGTAATCGCGAAAAGTTTCAGGCAGCATATTTCAACGAAAATATCCCACTTGACCTCTTTCAGATGCAATTTAACGATGTATTTCCGTGATATCTGTATGTAAGGACAGAATAAAATACTCTTTTCCTCCAAAAAAATTATAAAACTGCTTTAAAATGAATTCTGAAGAGAATTTGTCGTGGCGTCTGTACGAACGTATGTACGTACGTATCTCGCATAACTCAAAAACGAGTAGCCTCATAACGTTGAAATTTTGTATATAGGACTGCTATAACATGTAGATGTGCACCTCGTATTTTGGTTGCAATCGGCCGCACCAAACGTATATAATATATTTATATATATATCACTCTGTTACCCGGCTCAGTGATCTCATTTCTTTACTCTTATGTTTTGTAATGTAATTGTACATTTTTGCTTTAAAAATGATTGAATTATGTTGTTCTTATCTTCCGGTTAAGGTTTTTATCACTTTAGTAAATCTGAATGCAATATTTTTAGAATTATCAACAATTTTAAAATTGTTTAAGTGCCGCTAAGCCTAATAATGTTTTTGATGGCGGCCATTGCTCTTGTTTACATTTGAAACAGCAGGATAGCGGATTTATTGCCGATCTAGAGAAACTTAGCTTCGCAACAACAAAGATAACGCCTTCATTTATTATTTAAATCATGCTTAATCTTTTCTGAAATTTTTTCGAGGAAATAAGTGTTTAAAATTTACTTCGTAATTTTTAATGCAGATATTTTGAGTTTTTATGTATTTTTGCTTTGTCGCGAAGTGAAAACTGAATTAATTGAATGAGAAATACTCAATCGTCTGTGAAAACTGTTTCTTTTTGTTTGTTGCTTATTTTTTTTATACATCGTTCTAGCTTGTTATAGTATTTATTTGATAGAAGATGTGGCAACGATTAGATAATTCTTTAAATGATATAATTTTGTGCATTCTGAGTATAATATGAACGAAATATAATACTGTTAAGTAAACCTAGCGCCAGAGTATCGCTATGGTAAAAAAGTGAATTTTAAAGAAGCATTTATCTATTGTGGTTTAGCGCTGTCGGCGAAGTAGGTTTAATTCAATCTAATAAGTTTAAATGAAATGCAAGAAAAAATGCGTATAATTTGATATTCCGTACAAGGAAGTCGTGTTGTACACGTCAGATTTTTTCCAAGATGATTGTAAAATGAATTTACAATGGATTCAGAAGCGATGATTTTCTTCACTTCTGTAGGTCTGTATAACTCAAGAAGGAGTAGCCGTAACAACGTTGAAATTTTGCATATGGGACTGCCATAACATGTAGTTGTGCACCTCCCTTTTTCGTTGCAATCGCCTGCAAGAATTATATATATATTCCCACTCTGTTACCTGGCTCGATGAGCTTATTTTTTTTATTCTTTATGTTGGTGTATTTTTTGCTTTAAAAGTGATTAAATTATAAGGGTTTCTTTTTAATGTTCCGGCTAAGGATTTTATTCCTTTAGTTAATCTGCATGCTATAGTTGTACATTATTAACAAATTAAAAGTGGCGAGTTAAACTTAACGGACCGCCGTTTGTTTACATTTGAAACTCAGAATAATATTGAATTAAGTCATTTTCTGCACCTTCAATGCCTTGTTGCCGAGTGAGACCAAAAGTAAACTTTCAATTTTGTGACCCGAAAAGTCTGCTTTTATGCTGAACTGCTTGGGTTTGCGCAGAAGCTCTATTTTTAATTGTAAAATTTTTTCTTTTTAAACTATTTTAACTGTATTTGGTGTTTTATGTTTTTCTGTATTTTACAATTTTTAATGATGTACTTTTGACTTTTTTTTTACGTATTTAGGTTTTGCCCCGAAGTTTGAGCTGAATTAATTAAATGAGAAGTATATCTCTAATGAAATTCGAGGGAATAAGTTTAAAAATGAAATGCAGCAAAAATATGTAAAATTTAATAGGCCATATAATGATGTCATGTGGTATCCACGTCAGATGTTGTCATGAAGGATCTTACTCACAGTATTTTAGAGATTCCATGTTCTAGAAAACAATTACGTGTATCAGATTTGCCATTAACTCGTGATATTACTTGCATAAAGTAAATATGTATGATAATTTTTATGCTATTAGATTCTGACCTTAAAGCGGCATATGGATGTTATTAAGATATATTTAGCATTTGAATATTTATAATTTGCTAATGTTTATAAATTTTTAAGTGAATGAAAATGTTTTCGGTAAACAAAATGTAACAAAATAATAAATTAAAGAACTTGCATGAACTAGTAAATGTCAAAGGGGAATCGTTGAGGGGATATTAAAGCGGAAAAAAATCAACCTTGAAATATATCAATTTATTAACTTACACCTTAAGGAACACTATTCCTGGAAGTAAAAAATCTAAAAAGTTCCCAAACTCTGAAATTTAATGCCCAAGTCGATTTTTATCTTACAGGTGTCAATGTTTTGCGTTTTGTTATTTAGGATGTATATAATCGTTTTATAAATATACGGATCGGAAGACCATATAAAATTTAGATTTCATAATTTTAATGAAATTGTTTTTTAAAATTTAAAAATATCATATCGTAATATTTATGCTTTTTTATAACATTTTTGTATTCGAAAGTACATCTCTACGGCTAACGGAGACAAAAATGAAGGCCATGTGAAAAACTTTTAAAAACATTTTCAGTACTATAAAAAAATACTAAAAATAAGCATCTGTTTTGTAAATTTGATTTTTTTACGCTAATAGATGAAACTTCCTCACGTGCAGAGCAGCCCTCTTCGTATTCAGCTGACATGAGATGTCGTGAAGTCATATCACCCGACTGCCGTAAACAAGAATCTGAAATTTTAACTAGAATTATTCCCTCCAACCCAGATATCAAGGAAACCTTTTTACAAACGGAAGGACATATTTCAAGTGTACCTCGATTTCGAGAGTTGAAATTTCCACCCAAATGTGAGTTACATCCAATTTTTATCTTCCTTAAAGTTTTTTATAGCATCCATAAGATTCACAAATTTTGTTTTGATTTCAAATTAATACAGCGCGTTACATAAAAAAAGTTTATTATTTTATTTTATAAATCGAATTAAAGAAAAATTTGCCGAGTTTTAAAATGCCAAGAAAATACAAAGAGTATTAAAAATTCTGATACAGTTAAAAATGGCATAAAAATGGACAAGTTGCTTTAATAAAATTTGCAGTTAAAAATAACATCAAAGAAGCAGAATTTGGGGATGGTTTTGGGTTTTAGTTGAAATTGTCTCGGACAGATGGCGCTGTACGATTAATAAGCAAAAAAATCCCAAATGTAAATCCTTAGAGTATTTGAATTTTGATATCATTCATAGTATTGTAGTACGCTCGCTAATTCAAAAGAATAAAGGTTATGTTTTAATTTTTCTCATTTTATTCTTATAATATGATACTAGAGCGTCATCTATTCGAAAAAATTTGAAGAAAAATACACCTCGCGCAAATAACAACGACAACAAAAAAGAAGTAATAAAACATTTCAGTGATAAATTTTAATGTGCAAACCATACTCTGATGTACCCAATTGCTAATTTTGAATCGTTTTTTAAGAAGTTCCAAAATTTATGATACATCTTATAGGCGCTGGGGAATGTCGAATTTCGAACATTTCGCCGAAAATTAACATTTCGTATGAATTCGCTTCTTTCTTCAGCAAAAGGTTTTCACATCAGATGATCTTACTCTGTTTGATATTTTTGGTTGTAAATATATTAAAGATGGTCTGTCTAGAGTATTTTTGCATACAAGCTTATGTGATTTCAGAAATTTAATTCTTACTAGTGTGGGCATAGTAATAATACGTATGATAGAATAAGGATGACAAGATTTTGATTATATTCTTGATGTTTTGAGCTTATCCAAAGAACGTCACTTAGAACTCTTATAAAACTTTGACACTGTGTGTTTGATTTTATGCAATATGTGGTATATTGAGTTTATATTTTCAAAAATATAAGCATGAGGAATTAGGCCAGTCATTTTGCATAACGGGGCCCCCGAGCGGTAAAGTCGCTGAACACTGGTAGTTCGGTCCGAGGTTCGAATCTCGCGAACGGGCTGGCAGCATGGGCGTTTTCGTGGTTTTTCCCCATGTGTAACGTGTATACGAGTCAGTTTCCCTTAGAAAGTCCTCCACGAAGGCATCCCTTCTCTTAGGCAGATAGCTCTCGAGGCTTTGCCATAATCACACACACACACACATTTTGCATAACGCCCTACATCGGTATTTTGCAGAACTCGACAAAACAGTTTTGTAATTAACGGATATTGCTGTGCAGAATTAATTGTTAACATAAAGATATAGAAAACAAGTAGTCATAAGAGGAACTTCTTGAAAATAAAAATGTCGATGTATGTACAGTATCAAAACAGTACAAAATGATGATAAACAGATTTCCCACTCACCTGAAAAATCCCAGAAAGTCAAGGAAATAATATCAGGAAAGTATAAATTATTCTAAAAAAATGTGAGATAAGTTAAAAATAGCACTCTGAAGAGAAGGATAATTGTCCTTCGGAAATAAATAATCCAGTTTGTGTCATTGTGTAGTTGTATATCATACTAAATAATTATAAGAAATCGAGGACATTTTTCATCACAATGTGATTCTAAATGCCTCGCTTTTTATTTTGAAACAATAGATAATACATTTTATGTGCTAACACATTTTTGCAGAATGCAAACCATTTTTTGGAGTTTATTAAAATTTCTTTTTAAGACCTCTCCCTACCTTTTTAAAAAGTTTACATGTATATTTTGCATATACAGTGTGACCCAAAAGTAACAGAAAAATTAGGTATTCAATAGTTATAAAAGTATAGGTAGTAACACAGCTCAGATTTTACAAAAATGAGCAGAAACACCTGGGATTCATTTAATAATGAATTATTTTTATGCCCAGAATAATGACATTTTTCACCGATAGTTTTTAATTCAGTTGTGTCTAAAGTTCGCACAGTGGTGCAGCACAGTTTGTAAAGCAGCTAGGATTACAAATGTTCAGTGTGAAGACCACCATTCAAGAGGAGAGTTGTTGTATGCGATATGACCCACACATTTTGGATTAAGAGGATTCTTCTGTAATTGATGTTTCAGCGTTCAGTATGCCCAATAACGTCGGCCGACCTCTGCGCGCTTGTGACGTCTGTTAAAAGTGTACTCTTTTGACATAAAATTTTTCCTTTTTAAAAATAATACAATGTTTTTGGTTGCATTTCTGTGAAAACTTGTTCAGACTCCAGTCTATAGCTCTTCGAAATGTAAAATTTTTACATTTTCTGTTAATTTCGGATGATCCTGTATATTTATTTCATTCTCTCACTGTAATAAATGAGATAAATTAAATTTCCCCAGTTTTTTTCTTTATTCAATTGTATTTTGTAATAAATATGTAGAATTGTTAAATTAATTATAGTTAATTTGATAACTAGGTCTTTGTGTCCAGTCGAGGAGATGCAAAATAAGGGAAAGTGAGAGAAATTTAGACGTGAATTTCTGTGAAAATCCTACGATATACAACATTATCTTGTCAGGTAATTGTTGTTGTCGTGTCTGTAATGAAGCCTATTCCAGTACTGCCATGGGTGAAGCCCTGGCAATATGCAAAATATTAATATCATCGTAGAGGTTCGGTCTCGTAGACGAGACACCAATTTTTAACTAGTCAGCAAGCTTAACCTGACAATGAAAAAATGTGTGTACTTGTCAGTTTTATGTCCGGGCAGTTATCACAGTTCCTGTAGTTTAGTTTGTGATGGCTAGGTCTAAGCCTGTCTATGGTTTTAGTTATAAGTCGATTCCCATTCATGATATGGATATATATAATGGAGCTGGTGTTTTATTGGAATTGAATGTTCCATCAATCTTTATTTGGCTGCGGCTTTTGCATCCGAGAAGGTGGCATCTGACTGACATGCGCTGGCAACCGTTGTAGATTGCAGACCTAACTTTTGAACCTCGTTTAAGCAAAAATGGGGGTGATCAGGAAACTTCCATCCAAAATCGCCCGTAGAACTACGTTTGAGTCACAGTAGACAAAGAGTCCTTTTGCTTGCTCAGAAACGAGAAGGATTTTATACATGTCAAGTGCCCCCAATATTGCCAGAACCTTGCAAGTGAAGTTAGAGGCTATGGACCCCATTTTTGTGCTAACAAAGTAGTATCGCCTGGAGCAGTAAGAAATAGTCCAGAACCTCCATTAGTGATTGTCTCATCAGATGAACTTACACTAAGTCTTCTTTTGGATACTGTACAACGGTCCTGATCCCTTTCGCTTTAATGATGTCGGTTAGTTCCCTTTTATTTTTAAATCGGGTAATTACAGGTATGGAAACATCTCCCATCTTTTAAACTGGATAGACATTTGTCTTCATTGCTAATTATATAAACTTCATAAATTCGCAGGCCTGTGAGAGGAATTTTGATTATTTTAACTGTTAAAGTAGCAATAGGAATCGATGTAAACGCGAGTAATATTTCTGCTGCTTATTATGTAAATATTATTAATTATTCGTTCTATGTTACCTGTTTTTAATGCTAAATTTGAGCTGTATTAAAAAAAAGGCGTTAAAATTTAATAATCATGCGAATTTGTAACATAAATCTTATTATTGTATCACATAATAGGTACTTATTGTGACTGAAATGCACAATTTGAATTAATAATGAAGTTAAATATATAAGTAACGTATTAAGATTGTATTTTATAATCTTTGCATTGATTTATATTAAATCTCTGGCAGTCCATTAAAAATCCTTACATTAAATCTCCGGCAGTCCGTTAAAAAATATTAAAAAGAAGCTGCAAACGGCCATAGAATGCGTCGATAATTTACAATACTTAAAAGAGTATATAGCAAGTAAGGAAATAAACATTAAAATTCTAAATAAGATAAAACATTTTGGCGGCAGATTATTTATTAAAGACTAGTAAGCTCTCGATTCTCGAATAATTTTTTTTATATCTTATAATGATGTTAATTCGTCAAACACACGGAGAGAACAAAATGTTTTTGACTTCTCAATAATCTTGTTTAGAGCGTTTCTGATTTCGAAAACATTACTTATAAACTTCAGCTGAGTTACTTGAACCATATATTACTTGAAATAAGCTTCTCTTTATCAAAGAAAAACATAAAGATAAGTGCAAAAGAATTAGTCTTATCTCTCAGTGTTCTAAGTGGGGGAGGAGCGGAGTGGACTGATAAAGAATAATTTTAATGATTTTGCTAAGATTAGAAACTTATACTGAAATTTCAACAAACTGAAAATTAAACAAACCACTGCTATGAAATAGGCAAACTTGTGAAGTAAAAGACTTAACAAACTAAGTACTGAAAATAATGTAATAGCCACCGGCGTAATTGACGCGTTCAGTTTGTTTAAACACATTCTCAACAAAATGTACAACGTTAATTTAAATTCTAGTAAGTGCTGTGTTGTGCTTTACAGACGCTACAGGCAGAATGTAATTGTTAATACGGATATCAAAATTAAAAACGATACAGTTCCGATGGCTGACTCCTATAAGTATTTAGGAGTTATTATAGATAGCAAGCTTACCTTTAAATACCATGATACAGCCTTAGCGGAAAAAGCGAATGCTGCGTTCTGTGCCCTTTACAGCTTGATTGGCAGGAAGTCTAACGTATCGATAAAAATCAAAAGAACAGTGTATCTGTCCTTAATCAGACCGATTATGTTATACGCAGTGCCAGCATGGGCGACAGCCAACAAGACTGAGAGGGCTAAACTAGACATAATACAAAAATAAATACTTAGAGCTATTGTGAATGTGAAGGCCATGCATGAACAAATTTTGATCACTTCACATAATTTCTTTGAAAGCCTTAGAACCTCTTCCTACGCTTCTATTAGAAGCCTATGCTATTATAACCCTACTGTTGAATATGTGGTCAAA